ACATGGTGAAACCCCATCCCTACTAAAAATATAAAAATTAGCTGGGCGTGGTGGCTCAATCCTATAGTGAGCCGAGATCACGCCATTGCACTCCAGCCTGGGTAACAAGAGCAAAACTCCGTCTCAAAAAAAAAAAAAAAAAAAAATTAGCCAGGCACGGTGGCATGTGCCTAAAATCCCAGATATCTGGGAGGCTAAGGCAGGAGAATCCCTTGAACCCGGGAGGTTGCAACGGGCTAAGATCGTGCCACTGCACTCTACTCTGGATGAGAGAGCGAGATTCCGTCTCAAAAAAAAGAAAAAGGAAAAAGCAACAGGAGTAATTTCAAGAGAAATGTCTTTAAGTAGGTGAGAGGGGATGGGATCCAGGGAACCAGAGAAAGGTTGGCCTTAGGAACAGTGATGGATCATTTTCGTTAACAGGAAAGACAGCAGATTTCCGGGAGGGAAGGGAGCTCGTACAAGTTTCCTGATTGCTCCTATTTTCTTTCTTTCTTTCTTTCTCTCTTTTTTTTTTTTTTTTTTTTTTTTTTTTTTGAGATTGAATCTCCCTCTGTTGCCCAGGCTGGAGTGCAGTGGCACAACCTCAGCTCACTGCAACCTCTGCCTCCCGGGTTCAAGCAGTTTTCCTGCCTCAGCCTCCTGAGTAGCTGGGGTTACAGGCACATACCACCATGCCCAGCTAATTTTTTTTTAATGTTTTTATCAGAGATGGGGTTTCACCATGTTGGCCAGGCTGGTCTCAAACTCCTGACCTTCTCAGTCTGTAAACTTCTCAGGAAAAGGGAGAATGTGAAAAGACGTACTGGATTTAAGGAGAGAAGACAAACTGTGAAACAATCATCGATCTGAAAGAACTGGTAAATGAATCCACCAGGGAAACATAGTAGAACCGCCAGCCATTGCCAAGAGTCCCTTTTGGGGTCTGTGGTTATCGATTTAAAGTGAGACAAGTCAACAAAGCTGTGCATTTTTCTCCAGCCAGATTCAGCCATCCAGGTGGATTTAACTGGCAAGTTGCTGGAGGTGAAATGCTGGATTACCTGGGTTGAGGACAGAGAGAGACAAAATCAAGGGAGTTGAGGCAGTGATTACAATGAGGAGCCTTAGAACCTGAGCTGAGGGAGACGGGTGACAAGGACACAAGCAAGTGTTGATGGAAGATGCAAACGTCGGAGGGTAAAGAGACTGAAGGTACCTGAGGAGTCAGGAAAACGCTGGAGTGGCGGGAGGCGAAGGTTGCAGTGAACCGAGATCGCACCATTGCACTCCAGCCTGGGTAACAAAAGCAAAACTCCGACTCAAATTAAAAAATAAAATAAAAGAGGCCAGGCACGGTGGCTCATGCCTGTAATCCTAGCACTTCACCTAGAGGCCAACGTGGGCAGATTGCCTGAGCTCAGGAGTTCGAGACCAACTTGGGTAACACAGTGAAACCTCGTCTCTACTAAAATACAAAAAATTAGCCGGGCGTGGTGGTGTGTGCCTGTTAATCCAGCTACTCAAGAGGCTGAGGTAGGAGAATTGCTTGAACCCGGGAGGTGGAGGTTGCAGTGAGCCAAAATTGCGCCACTGCACTCCAGCCTCGGCAACAGAGCGAGACTCCATCTAAAAAAAAAGAAAAGAAAAGAAACTGTCAACAGCCTGGAAAAGAAAATGACCAGGCCTCTTCCAACCCAGAGATGATAAAATGTAAGTCCTGACTCCGGCCTGTCAGTGGCAGAGAAGGAAAGACCCTGTCAGACACCCTATTGAGGGGGTGCCCATAGCAGGTGGGGAGTCCTCACAGATCTATCTACCCCTACACTGAGGTCTATGACTCCATGAATTTGGCTATATTTTCTTTCTTTCTTTCTTTTTTTTTTTTTTTAAATATAGAACACTTCACAAATTTGTGTGTCATCCTTGAACAGGGGCCATGTATGTGAAGTGAGGAATGTGAACTGTGTTTTCTCTTGGCCTCCTAGCTGTGATGGTCTGTGAATCTCCTGGAAGCCAGCTCTGGGTCCAGTCCTGTCTTGGGGAAATTAAACCAGAAAGGCACAGAGTATACACGAGAACCCAGCAGCATCATCTGATACAAACACATACTCCCACTGACACACAGTATCTTTGCTTATCTAATTACATGCATGCACCACAAACACACACACACACTACACACCAGCCAAGAAAACCCACAACCAGGTCAGGCACAGTGGCTCGTGCCTGTAATCCCAGCACTTTGGGAGGCCGAGGCAGGTGGATCATTTGAGGTCAGGAGTTTGAGACCAGCCTGGCCAACATGGTAAAAACCTGTCTCTACTAAAAATACAAAAATTGGATGTGGTGGCACACACCTGTAATCCCAGCTACTCAGGAAGCTGAGGCAGGAGAATCAGCTTGAGCCCCGGAGGCAGAGATTGCAGTGAGCCAAGATCACACCACTGCACTTCTGCCTGGGCGACAGAATGAGACTCTGTCTCAAAAAAAAAAAAAAAAAAAGAAAACTTGCAACCATTTACACATGCAACCACCCACACCCTTTCTTGTGGTCACATCACCATACTCAGCACTGTCACCTGCTCGACACAGTGTCCCGTCATGGCCTCACAAAATCTCAGTCCCAGACCTCTGCCTACCTTGAGCAGATGAGGCAACTGCTGGGTAACCAGCTCCTTAAACTCAGCGGTGTTGAGGCTGCCCTTCTGGCCCTCCTGCTTCGCAAAGGTGAAGAAGGTGGTGACCACGGTCTCGATGGCCAGCTCCAGCTCTGTCAGTGGTTCTGCTGCCATTAGGACCCTGAGGCTGAAGCTGATGTCCTCGAGGGGCTGGCTGACCTTTGTCAGGGCTGTGGAACAGAGAAGGAGCAGAGAGGGAGCGTCAGGGAGGCCTAGATGCAGGAGTGGTTCAGAAGACCCCCGCCTTGGTGTTACCACCTCAGGTCTCCGCCTGGAGGGGGCATTATGGGGAAAGTGGGAGAGAACCGGGGTTGAGCTTGGGGCAGCAGATCAGGCAACAGCATCTCAGTTTAGGTGGGGGCAGGAGGTTCGGTAGGAACCCCCTCTTCTGTAGGTCTCACAGTCTGGGGTCCTCTTTAGGTGTCTGTGGCTTAGGGACCCCTCTGTGGTGATCCCTTGGTCTGGAGACCCCCTTTACCTGAGAGGAGGTTTTCAGTCTGAGTGTCCTTCTTGGAGTCCTTTGAGTCTGGTGGCTCCTCTGTGGGGTGTCTGTCTCAAGAGTTCCTTCTTGTCTCACGCAGCCTCACAGGGTCATGAGGTTGTTTGTCTCCAAAACTTGTTTATGTTGGGCCCTGGTCTCCTGAGCCCGCATCCGCCCACACACACTCAGCGCTGCTCTTCCCAGCAAAGCACAGGGTCTGGCGACCGTCCGGCTGTGGTCAGAGCTGGCATTTTCTCTGCCCCGCTCCACCCTCACCTCTCCTCAGGGGCAGCAGGGCAGAGGTCTGAGCCCGGGACCCCACAGGTCCTCCCTGCTCCTATCTCCCGGGGACAAGGGTCCTGGAATGGGGCGCCTCTGACCCCCTGCCCCAGGACGGGTTTAGCACAGGCACTTACAGCCCCCGGCGGTGCAGTGGGTGGGGCAGGAGGGAGGCATTCTCATTTCCGTCCACCCGTCCACCCGTCCACCCCGCCACGCACTCCTGCACGCACTGTTGCTCGATCACCCAAAGCTGCTTCCTGAATTCCTGCCTGAGCTGGCTCTGGGGGAGGGACCTGGGAGCCCAGGAATTAAAAATGATCTCCAGGCTCCCTCCAGGGTCCGTCAAGAGACTCACCGGGCAAGGAGATGGGGTGCAGCGAGCTGGAGCCTCAGGGCTGAGGTTTATAAGCAGCGGGGGGGAAAGGGGAGAGAGGAGCTTCCAAGCCCGGAAGTGTCAAATTTCCGTGGTCGATCCTGAAGAGCAGAGACCGCCCAATCACGCCTCTCGCCCTGAACCCTCAGGCCTGGACCCGGGCTCCCTGCCAGCTACACGAGCACCCCCCACTTGGTCAGGGAGAGGAGCTGCCTGGACAAATGTTCAGCAGGGGTCCCAGGGTCCTACTCCTCTCCATATTGGGGGCTGCTGCCACCACACCCCGCATCCAATCAGGAGTGTGTATGCTGAGCGGGGGGGGGGGGGGGGGGGGAGGGGCGGGGAAGGGGGAGGCAACCAACTGAGGGAGCTCAACATTGGGAGGCCCAATCTGAGATACACACGTTGGCCCCTTAAAATGAGACCCCACAGGCGGGGCGCAGTGGCTCAGGCCTGTAATCCCAGCACTTTGGGAGGCGGAGGCTGGCGGATCATCTGAAGTCAGGAGTTCCAGACCAGCCTGACCAACATGATGAAACCCTGTCATTACTAAAAATACAAAAATTAGCCGGGTGTGGTGGTGCATCCCTTTCATGTTAGCTACTCAGGAGGTTGAGGCAGGAGAACCACTGGAACCCAGAAGGCAGAGGTTGCAGCGAGCCTAGATTGCGCCATTGCACTCCAGCCTGGGTGACAGAGTAAGACTCAGTCTCAAAAAAAAAGAGACCCACAAAGGATGCTACAGACCAAGACCCCTCAGAGAACCCCAGGCTGAGGCCCCACACACAGAGGGGGATCCAAGCTGAGACCCCCATTGAAGAGTCTGGGATTGAAATCCCTCTGTGGGGTCTCAGACTCCCAAGACTAAGTTACTCATTGAGGGTCCTCTCAGTGAGGTTGCATGGAGGAGCCACAGACTAAGACCCCCTCAGCAGAATTCCCCCCTTCCCCGGCTCAACCAGCACAGCCAGCTGCAGGTGCTGCAGGGCCCAGCTTGGGGTGAGATGTCCGGTTCCTTCCCAGGATGTCCTTCCCACCTCTTCCCCTGCACCATCCACTGCTGCCCAGAGAGAAAGGAACGGGCCAGGCAAGGCTGGAAAGAGACAAGGGCCGCCTGTTCCAGCCCAGGAGACAGAGGGCGCCTCTGTCAGCTTCTGGCCCCTTGCCCCACAGGGTGTCCGCCTGTGAAGGGGTGGAGTCGGTGGGGGGGTCAGCGGGGGAGGGACAGCTGAAGACAGGTCTCCACACACAGCTCCAACAGCCACATTCGCAGCCTCGGCCGTCTGTCCAGAACCTGCTCCCACCTCAGGCCCAGGCCGACCGTGAGTACCCTGCCCCACTGGGCTGGTCCCTGGCCCACCAGCTTTGGGGCGAGGGGTCTTCAGAAGGGCTCTGAAGAGCTGGGGACCACAGCGCTGTGGGGCACTGAGGATCTGGCAGGAGTCAGTCAGGATGGGGGCAGTTTGGGATTTGGGGGAGACTGGGTCTGGAAGGTGGCGAGGAGAGGCAAACGAACCAAAGGTCAGAGACAGAGCTGGCAGCTCAGCCAAGGAGGAAGCCAGTGGGGAACCCACCCTGAGCTTCCTGGCCACCTGGCCCTCCCCAGGGAGCCCTCAAGTCCCTGCCAAGCCCCCTTCTGCCTCCCGGGTGTTGGGGAGGGCCCCCCGCACTCCCGTACCCCGCCTCCTGTGGGGTGAGGAGAGAGCAGAGACAACAGCTTTTTCTGCCCCCACCCCTCCTGCCAGCCTTAGTCTCTGCCACCCCCACCCTGCCTTGCCAAGAACTTAGGTCCCTGAGGAGTCTGGCGGTGGCAGGGCGAGCCTCCCATGGTATGGGGAAGGGGGGGTGCAGGGTGCTGTGCCCCTTCCCACACTGCCTCCGCAGGACCTCCCCTTTCTCCTCCTCCGCTTTTCGGCCCAGAGCTCTTGACTCCTCTTTCCCCCAATTCTTTCCTCTTCGTTTTCCCATCGGCCCCGCTCCCAAGTCCTCTCAGAACTGCCCCCACATAAAATCCCAGGCTGCTCTAGGGCTCCACGCGACCTCCAGCTGCCCCTCTGGCATGGAGCGGGTAATCCAGCCTCCAGCATCCCTCCCTCGAGCACCCTTTATCCCCTCATCAGCTATGGCTTGGGTTCCATCTCCCTCATGTCTCTGTGACAACCACTTCTCAGGTCCGGAGCTCAGATGACGCTCACAAGGGCCCCATTGAAGAACTGGGATGTCATTCGATCAGGGCCCATTGTCTAGCCCCCTAGGCCTGGGGAAGGATGGGGACATCTGATCCCAGACATCTGAGCTGCCCCCATGGGCCAGACTGTCCCAGGGCCAAGGGAAAGAGGGCCCCTGGTTTGGCAGTCTCCTCTCTCAACAGACCCCTCCTTTCTTCTACTCTCTCCTGGCCCCTTGAACTCACAGGACCGCATGCTCTCAGCCCTTTATCTCCCCCATCACATACCAGCCCCACCCCCGCCTGCCCTCACTGTCCCTGAATCCACCAGGAGTGGGCAGTCACAGGGACAATGCCTGCAGGTCTCCTCTCCCTGTCTCTGGGAACCCTGGCTCCAGGGAAAAGGCTCAGACAGACCTCTCTCCCCTCCTGCCACCCACTAGATGAAAAGGAGAGTTTTGCAGAGGTTATGGGAGCATACCTCAGAGAAGTCAAAATGACAAGTCCAGGAGAGAACAGAGTTGAAGGACCAAAAGGGGCCCCCAGCTGCTGACAGGAAGCTCAGAGTCAGTGAGGCCTCCCTCCCCTAGAAGCATTAAGCCACCCACTGGGGCTGCCACCCCCTCTACCAGGCTGACCGGGGGGATCAGACTGACTTCTTTGCTAGGGTTGGGCAGCAGAGGCAAGGCTGTAGTGGACACCCAGCCCACCACCCTCAACAGCAGGGCTTAGCTATGCTAGGCAGGCAAGGTCCAAGGTAAAAATAGAGCCAGAGAAAGCATGGCCCAGTCCTGTGACCACCCCTGCCTGCCCCACCCTCCTCAATCCCTGCCTAGGCAGCCACCACAGACATCTACCACAGGCCTCTGGAGCCAGCCCAGCTCCAACTGCTCTCTTCGTGCCCCAGCCCTGATTCCCTCTGGCTGGGGTACAGACTGAGGGACAGGCAGAACAGGTCTGCATTTAGGTGTGCTGGGGTTTCCCTCACGTTGTAAAATCTCAGGGAAAGATCAATTGCAGTAGGGCTCTAATCCCACAGCTATTTGAGCTGTCTGCCAGGGCCAGGCCTGAGGGCTCCCCTCACCTAGACCCCGGGTACCCAGGGCCTGGTCCTCAGCTCATTTCCATGATGGGGCTGGGTAGGTGCGCTGCCGCAATGGGCTCTGAGCTGGAGACGGCGATGGAGACCCTCATCAACGTGTTCCACGCCCACTCGGGCAAAGAGGGGGACAAGTACAAGCTGAGCAAGAAGGAGCTGAAAGAGCTGCTGCAGACGGAGCTCTCTGGCTTCCTGGATGTGAGCACAGAGCGGTGGAGTGGACGTGGAGTGGGTGAAGGGTTGGGGGAATGGGGTGGGCACCCCCCTGCTATCTCTCCACCTCACTACCAGCTCAGCCCAACCTCCTTCTTTCCCTTCCCAGACTTCTCTCCTGGCTTTTTTCAGGCTCCCCTACTCCTCTGGGGTCAAGTCAGAATGCCCTGGTTTCTTGATCATTTGTTAGGTGTTAGGCCCTGCATAGATTCGTCAATAATAAGGTTCACAGTATGGCCAGGTGAGGTGGCTCACACCTGTAATCCCAGCACTTTGGGAGGCCGAGGCGGGTGGATCACCTGAGGTCAGGAGTTTAAGACTAGCCTGGCCAGCATGGTGAAACCCCATCTCTACTGAAAATACAAAAATAAACTGGGTGTGGTGGTGAGTGCCTGTAATTCCAGCTACTCGGGAGCCTGAAGTAAGAGAATCACTTGAACCAGGGAGGCAGAGGTTGCAGTGAGTCGAGATCGTGCCATTACACTCCAGCCTGGGTGACAGAGGGAGACTTGATTTCAAAAAAAAAAAAAAAAAAAAGAAAGAAAGACTCACAGCCTAGAAGGGACAGATTGACACTTCAAAGCAAACCACGAGGGCCAGGGGCAGTGGCTTATGCCTGTAATCCCAGCACTTTGGGAGGCCGAGGTGGGCAAATCATCTGAAGTCAGGAGTTCCAGGCCAGCCTGGCCGATATGGTAAAACCCTGTCTCAAGGCCGGTCGCAGTGGCTCACGCCTGTAATCCCAGCACTTTGGGAGGCCGAGGCGGGTGGATCACGAAGGTCAAGAGATCGAGACCATCCTGGTCAACATGGCGAAACCCTGTCTCTACTAAAAATACCAAAAAAATTAGCTGGGCGTGGTGGCTCGTGCCTGTAATCCCAGCTACTCAGGAGGCTGAGGCAGGAGAATTGCCTGACCCAGAAGGCAGAGGTTGCGGTGAGCCGAGATCGCGCCATTGCACTCCAGCCTGGGTAACAAGAGTGAAACTGTCTCAAAAAAAAAAAAACAGTTTTTAGGAGGAGGTAACTGAATGAACAAAAACATGGGAGAAAGAATGTGGAGCATGTCCAGTAGTTTCATTTGACTGGCATGAAGGATGCCAAAAAGTAGGCTGTAGGCCGGGCGTGGTGGCTCACGCCTGTAATCCCAGCACCTTGGGAGGCAAAGGCAGGTTGATCACGAAGTCAGGAGTTCGAGACCAGCCTGATTAACATGGTGAAACCCTGTCTCTACTAAAAATACAAAAATTAGCTGGACAAGGTGGCACACACCTGTAATCCCAGCTACTCAGAAGGCTGAGGCAGGAGAATCACTTGAACCCGGGAGGCGGAGGTTGCAGTAAGCTAAATCATGCCATGGCACTCTAGTCTGGGTGACAGAGCAAGACGCCGTCTTAAAAAAAAAAAAAAAAAAGAGCTGGGCGCGGTGGCTCAAGCCTGTAATCCCAGCACTTTGGGAGGCCGAGGCGGGTGGATCACGAGGTCAAGAGATCGAGACCATCCTGGTCAACATGGTGAAACCCCGTCTCTACTAAAAATACAAAAAACTAGCTGGGCGTGGTGGCGCGTGCCTGTAATCCCAGCTACTCAGGAGGCTGAGGCAGGAGAATTGCCTGAGCCCAGGAGGCGGAGATTGCGGTGAGCCGAGATCGCGCCATTGCACTCCAGCCTGGGTAACAAGAGCAAAACTCTGTCTAAAAAAAAAAAAAAAAAAAAAAAAGTAGGCTGCAAAGGCTAACCGAGGCCACAAAGCAAAGAAGCCTCAGGATACGGTAGAAAGTGCACCCGTTTTGAAGTTTTATTAGGCTAGGTTCAAATTCCCGCCCTGCTACTTTCTAGCTGTGGGATTTTGGGCATATTTATTTAACCACCAACCACCAATTTGTGTCTTTTCTAGAATGGAAATAATGAAACACCTCATGTTATTTGTATTATAATTAAAATTAGACAGTGCTTGTAAAGCTCCTAGTGTAGTGCTTGCTGTATTGTAGGCACTCAACATATGGTAATTAGCGTCATTATTATTCATTCTGCCAGGTGAAAGAGCTTAGGCTGTATGTAGGCAATGGGAGCCGCAAGAGTTTTGAGGAGGCCCAGAAGAGTTCCATAATTCAGTGCAGTTCCTCTCCCTCGTCTCTGCGCCCTTCTCCTCAACCGCCCCCTTGCCTCTAACTCAGTGCTGTACACCTCCCTATACACCTCCCTCTCCCTCTCCTCCCACCACAGGCCCAGAAGGATGTGGATGCTGTGGACAAGGTGATGAAGGAGCTAGACGAGAATGGAGACGGGGAGGTGGACTTCCAGGAGTATGTGGTGCTTGTGGCTGCTCTCACAGTGGCCTGTAACAACTTCTTCTGGGAGAACAGTTGAGCAGCCACACTCAGCAGCGCCCTTTCTCTCCACCCTGCCAGACCTGCCTCTACCCCCTGCTTCCACCTCATCCCCAGTCCCTCTCCATAATCCCACCCTTGCCCGCCCCACCCGCCCCACATGCCCCACCCACCCCACCCGACCCCCCCCACACACACCAAGGGCGCAAGAGCAGCGGTCCAAGCCTGCAACTCCTCTTTCATTAAAGGCTCTTCTCGCCAGCCATCCGATGTCTGTCTCCTCTGGGACCTGGAAGTGGGTGGAGAAGTGAGGACTGTTCACTCCCAACTCTCCTTCTGTGGGGAAGTGTCTGACTTAGAAAGAGGTCGAGGTGCATTATATCTTCCTACTTGAGGAATGCTCACGGTCCGGGAAAGCGGGGGTTCAAGGTTCCGGTTGGAAGTTGAGGAGACATCAGCTTCTCAGCTATGAAACCAGAGGAAGGGTACGGTGGCTCACCCCTGTAATCCCAGCACATTGGGAAGCTGAGGCGGGCAGATCATGAGGTTAGGAGTTTGAGACCAGCTCGGCTAACATGGCAAAACCCTATCTCTACTAAAATACAAAAACATTAGCCGGGCGTGATGGTATGCGCCTGTAATCCCAGCTACCTGGGAGACTAAGGCAGGAGAATTTCTGGAAACGGGGAGGCAGAGGCTGCTGTGAGCCGAGATGCACCACTGCACTCCAGCCTGGGCAACAGAGCAAGACGCCCTCTCAAAAAAAAAAAAAAAAAAAAAAAAAAAAAAAAAGAGGCCAGGGGCAGTGGCTCACGCCTGTAATCCCAGCACTTCCCCATATTGGTCAGTCTGGTCTCGATCTCCGGACCTCGTAATCCGCCTGCCTCGGCCTCCCAAAGTGCTGGGATTACAGGCGTGAGCCACCACGCCCAGCTGAAAGAATCTCCTTTCAACACACGAACATTTACTTAAGTGGTACTATGTGTAAACACTGTGTAGGAATGCAGGATCCAGGACTAAGCAAAATAACCACTATTCTTATCTTCACATGGGTAAGGATGCTGGGCCATTACTTACACTCACACACACACACACACACACACACACACGTGTGCGCGCACAAGAGCCAGGAAGGAAAAATGAAAGGGTCTTAACGTGCCTATGGGGCAGAGGAAGGGTTGCATTCTCTCATTAATCAAACGTATGCACACTGTATTGTGTATGAAGCCATTAAAAAATCGTTTATTCGCCCAGCTAATTTTTGTATTTTTAGTAGAGATGGGGTTTTACCATGTTGGCCAGGATGGTCTCGATGTCTTGACCTCATGATCCACCCACCTCGGCCTCCCAAAGTGTTGAGATTACAGGCCTGAGCCACTGCGCCCATATGTCTTTAAGTTACTTTATTTCTAAATCTTGGTCTTCCACGTTTCTAGAGGCCACCTGACACAAGTCCCTTTATCTGAAGTCTAGCATCTCAAGCCTGATCTGGAAGTGTGCTCCCTAGTGGGTAACTTCATCCTTCTAATATAGTTTAGTCATTCCCATCTTGTTCTCAGAAGGGAAGGTGGCTATAGCCAGGCATCACATAGCCACTGTGTGCATATAGGGTCTCTTCACGTTGGTGCTTCGCATTCCATCAGCTTTCTCTAAGTCTGTACTCAAGTCCAACGTTCATATGATGTTAGAGAGCAGGTCCCAGTCAGTTCCCTCAATTTTCACCCACTTTGCTCACAAGCCATATTGGTCTGATTAGTGGTATTGTCTTGACTCGAATGTCTGATCCAAATAAATGTAGATGCTGAAAAAAAAAATCGTTTATTGAGGCCGGGCGCGTTGGCTCATGACTGTAATCCCGGCACTTTAGGAGACAGAGGAGGGCAGATCATTTGAGGTCAGGAGTTTGAAACCAGCCTGGCCAACATGGCGAAACCCCAACTCTACGATACAAAAATTAGCAGAGCGTGTTGGCACGTGTCTGTAATTCCAGCTACTCTGGAGGCTGAGGCAGGAGAATTGCTTGAACTCGAGAGGCAGAGGTTGCAGTAAGCCGAGATCATGCCATTGCACTCCAGTCTGGGTGACGGAGACTCCATCTGCAAAAAGAAAAAAAGAAAGAAAAATCCCTTATTGAGCAGGGCACATAGCTCACGCCTATAATCCCCGGACTCGGGAGGCTGAAGTGGGAGGATCATCTGAGCCCAGGAGATCAAGGCTGCAGTGATCCGTGATTGTGGAACTGACTGCAGCCTGAACAGAGCCGGAGCCCGACAAAAAAAAACAACAAAACATCAGAGAGAAAAGATAAATCCCTTTGCAGGTCTGCAACAAAATCAACACAGATGGCAGGTGTGGAGGGAGGACATGGAAGAGAAATCGGGGATGCAAGGGTGCCCTCACAAGAGGGATTAAACAGTATTCAGGCCAAGGTGGGGAGAGGAGGAAGTAAGGAGGAAAATATGGCCGGGCGGTGGTGGAGCCGGCGAAGGATCGGCGAGGAGCGTGCTCCCAATACTGGCCTCCCGGGCCTTGGCTGGAGCATTCACGGCACTTCACAACTCAGACTGGGCGAGTGGACATGAGGGGAAAACCAGTGCAAATTCCCCAGGCCCAGTGGTCCGGTAGAAGACGACGCAAGTCCATGCAAAGATTTTTTTTTTTTTTTTTTTGAGACGGAGTTTCGCTAGTTACCCAGGCTGGAGTGCAATGGAGCGATCTCGGCTCACCGCAACCTCCGCCTCCTGGGTTCAGGCAATTCTCCTGCCTCAGCCTCCTGAGTAGCTGGGATTACAGGCACGCGCCACCATGCCCAGCTAATGTTTTTTGTATTTTTAGTAGAGACGGGGTTTCGCCACGTTGACCAGGATGGTCTCGATCTCTCGACCTCGTGATCCACCCGCCTTGGCCTCCCAAAGTGCTGGGATTACAGGCGTGAGCCACTGGGCCCGGCCCTTTTTTTTTTTTTTAAATAGAGATGGGGTTTCACCATGGCCAGGATGGTCTTGATCTCTTGACCTCGTGATCCGCCCGCCTCGGCCTCCCAAAGTGCTGGGATTACAGGCGTGAGCCACCGCGCCCGGCCCGTGTAAAGACTTTTAGACTCTGTACCTTGGCTGGGGAACGGAGGGGCGAGGGCACTCGGGGCTGAAACCCCCTGTAAGTACTACCACGGGAAGCTGCCGTGCAGCCACTACCGTAACGTGAAGACCCGGCACGGCCCCACCACCGCACCGCTGGCCACGCCCCTACGGGGGCGGAGCCCTCCTTGCAACGCTGAAGTAACGTTCGCCGACGCCCCACCTTCGCCCTAAGGCTCCGCCTCTGATTTCTGCGCAGGCGTAGCTCAAACCTTTCCCGCCCTCTAGTCGTGCGCAGAGCGGACGCCTGACGTAATTGCGTAGACGCCATTTTAGCCGGTCCTACACGCACGGGACGTGGCGGCCATTTTGTTTTGGACGCCGAGACGGAGCTGGAGGCCGCTTCAGACGACAGTCAGGAAAGGGCAGGCCGGGTGAGCAGACGGATTTGCCGATTAGACAAGCCAACCAGTAACAACAAACTAAGTTCGCATACTACTGCTTACGCATCTAACCAACCGCCCATCTAGCTAACCCGAGCCCCTCCACCGTCAATTCAGGTTCGGCCGGTCCCCGGCCCGCCTGCCGGAGCCGTGGTGGCATCCCCGGGAGGAACCCTGGCGTCTGTGTCCTTCGGTGAGTTTCTGTAGTGAGAAGGAGCAGGGAGTCTTGGGGAGTGGAAGGGGCCGGCAGATGCGGAAAGCGGGTGGTGGCGTGTGGAAACAGCTCGGGTCGTGGAGCGGGGAGGCCCCGGGGAGGAGGCGGAGCCCCCGCGAGGGGTCGGGGGAGGGGCTGAGCTAGAACCTGGTGGCGGGATTGATGGAGGTTGGGGTTTGATAGTGATAAAAAGGGAGCTGATTTGGCGGGTTGAGCAAACGTGGAAGTCTGGACAGGGCTTTGAGGATGGTAGGGAGATTAAATGAGAACCGTCAGACTGAGACATGTTGGAAATTAGGGGCAGCGTTAGGGTTAAATTCTGTGGCGGCCTCTTCTGCGAGCTAATTACCAGGTGAATTTAGAAAACCTTTCCTGCTCACTCCCCCAGATCCTCAGTTCCTTGTTAAAGACCCTGCTTGATTCTGGAGTTGAAAGCCAATTTTGAAACTAGGCATGCCTGTATTTTCACTCTAGATCTGTGTTTCTCTACTTGAGCTGCACGTTGGAAGCACCTAGGTAGCTTTCCCCCACCCCACCAAATGTTCATTTCCAAATCTCACTACCAGAGATTGTGGTTTAATCTAGGCCCAGATATTCGTATTTTTTTAATTTGTGTTTTAATAGAAACGAGGTCTCATCATGTTGCCCAGGCTGGTCTCGAACTCCTGGGCTCAAGCAGTCTTCTCTCCTTGGCCTCCCAAAGTGCTGAGATGACAGGCGTGAGCCACCTCGCCCAGCCCTATTTTTGTTTGTTTTTGATACGGAATTTCACTCTTGTCGCCCAGGCTGAAATGCAATGGCGTGCTCTCAGCTCACTGCAACCTCTGCCTCTCGGATTCAAGCGATTCTTCTGCCCCAGCCTCCCAAGTAGCTGGGATGACACAGGCACTGCCGCTAGTCTGGCTAATTTTTTTGTTTTTTGTTTTGTTTTGTTTTGTAAGACGGGGTTTCACCATGTTGGTCAGGCTGGTCTTGAACTCCCGACCTCAGGTGATCCGCCCACCTTGGCCTCCGAAGTGCTTGGATTACAGGCGTGAGCCACCACGCCCGGCATTTTTGTATTTTTGGTAGAGACGGTTTCACCATGTTGGCCAGGCTGGTCTCGAACTCCTGACCTCAGATGAGCTGCTGCTCCCAGAGTGCCTGGCCCAATTTTTTATTTTCTTTTTTTTTTTTTTTTTTTTTTTTTTTGAGACGGAGTTTCGCTCTTGTTACCCAGGCTGGAGTGCAATGGCGCGATCTCGGCTCACCGCAACCTCCACCTCCTGGGTTCAGGCAATTCTCCTGCCTCAGCCTCCTCAGTAGCTGGGATTACAGGCACGCGCCACCACGCCCAGCTAATTTTTTGTGTTTTTAGTAGAGACGGGGTTTCACCATGTTGACCAAGATGGTCTCGATCTCTTGACCTCGTGATCCACCCGCCTCGGCCTCCCAAAGCGCTGGGATTACAGGCTTGAGCCACTGCGCCCGGCAATTTTTTAAAACCTCTTTGGGTAAGTCATGTAGTCAAGGTTGAAAATGACTGCTCTAA